GACTGTGTGTGTGACTGACTTAGACTGGATGCTGATACTTTCATATAGCAGCTTGCACCATAAGCATATGGGAAGAAAAAAAAAAAAAGTCGGAATGGTTGAATGTCACATATTATGTAAATCTCTTTGAGTGTGTCAGGAAAGGGGAAATGGGACTCAGGGGTGTCTTCAAGTTATCCAGGAAGGATAACCACATAAATCGAAAGTGATAGATTGGGGGGGGGGAGGAAGAGTAGGCTGCCAGGGAGGACTTAACACAAAAGTCTGGAGTATATCAACAAAACTACCAAGCACTCCAAGTCATTTACTGAGAGACTAGCAATGGACACAAATACAGAAGGTTTTTCATTTGTGTTTATGAACACGAGAGACACCACAGGGGAGAACCTCTCACTACCTCTGAAGGTGAGATAATGAGCCAGCACAGAGCACTGAAGTCCAAGAGCATATATAAACTCCCCACACCTGGTTTAAATCAAGGCCAATCAGTGACACACACACACCTGCCTCTGCACTGAGCTGATTCTTTTACCAACCTCAGTGAGAAGCTTGAGCGTGTGCCCTCACAGAGTGATCAGAGAGATATAGTTAGAGTTGATTTAGACAGCGTATTCCCTTTACTCAGCCGTTTTCTTTTCCTCCAATGTCTGACCATTTCTTAACAACCTATTCAATCTCCTGACTGCTTGTGTTAAACGTCATTGCCTTCCAACTGTTCACCAGCTAACCAGTTGAGGGTCACAAAAATGCATGCAGAAAAAGCATAAACACAGAATTGAAATAAAGAGATGACTCACAGGATGTGTTGTTCCCCATCAGCGTTGAGAAGGTGGTGAAAGTTGTCGTCATCTAGCACAGAATGAAAACAAACACACTTTAATGCATACAGTTAAATACATCCTCAATCAAAGGGTCACATCAATGGATGGACACTCATGGAGAGAAGTAGTGTGAAGTGTAGTATCACTAGCAGGAGTGTGATGTCTCTCTCTCTCTCTCTCTCTCTCTCTCTTTTCACTAGTGTTGGTGCTGGCACTGCCGCATGTGCTGCCTGTGTGGGTGCCACCCACCCACCCATCTGTGCCCATTGGGGCCCTCAGGCCGCGTGTCCATCTGGCATCTTCCTCTGTGTCTGTCGAGTTGTCACCTATGCCGGCCATCATCGACGGACTCAACGTGCCAGCACTTTTTCTCAGAGAATACAGAGTAACGGGAGAGAGAGAATAAAGTTCTGAATGTAGTGACCTCAGCTAAACTTGAGTGTCTACCGCACAAATGTATGTACTTAAATTACAAATAAATAAAAACAATCATTTGGCCCTTTACCAAGCTGTTACACAATGATGCTGGCTGAGATAAACCACCTCTTTTTCTCGTCCTCCAACTTGCCATTTTAGCAACACTGTCTAGCACCACTGATGCTTGATTCTTAGATCCACATTTCACAAGGTTGCATAACTGACTGGCTGTTCCCGAGAAGAACATTTTTCATGTGCTCGAAAATATATTTGTCTTCTTTCTTGACAATAGTTAGATGAGAAGATTGATGTCACTAATATGTCTTTGCAATCTATATAAGCATTAGTCAGTGAGCCATTAGCTTAGCTTAGCATAAGGGTTGAGGGTTGATAAGAAATCAATGGAGATTTGAGGACATTAATATTTCTGGCTAAGAAATGGTTTCACTATATAATTTGTGTCAAACAAAGTGAGCCTTTAGGATGCTGTGAAGTTCATCACTGATGCTAAGCTAGGCTAACCAATTGCTCTAGCCTCATATTCATCATCAAGACGTGAACTTAAAGCTATGAGAGTTAAAGTTGACAACAATATTAGCACAGCCACCGTAGATTAGGTACTAGAAACATATCCAACACCAAAGAAGAATTCAATATAATTTGTTTTCTTAACAAGCTTTTAACAGGTGTGTAATTATACTGGTAGATGACCAACCCCTCACCAAACACACCAACATTTATCCACATACATGAAACACACTGTCAGTCTTGCTCAATGCTAACACAAATGCCTATATATTTTATAATTTATCTCAAGCATTGGCTGCAAACGGTACAGAAAAGCAGTTCAGTGTGACAACAAACTGACAAAACTAACAAGCCCCTTTATAAGTCCCCCCCACCCCTAACCCCTAGGGGTCCTGCGCTCCACTTTGGGAATGTCAAACAAGACAAAGAGGGGTTGAAAACAACATATTCTGTATATAAATGGTAGTAAAATGATGAGAACCACCTCTTTGTACACGTAACCATAGTTACTTTCTTTCTTCTCCAATTAAATGTTTATCCATCAAAGATTCAAATGTTCCTTTAATGTGTGCCATTTGACCTTTTTAACAGGTTGGGTGGGGACACACTTGCGTCTTTATAGACTGAGTTGCACTGATGGACGATATAAAGCAGCCTTTGGGATCAGACTGTAGCTGACGACAGTATGTGGCATATGCCCCGTTTGAATTAATGAGGATTTCACGGTGAGATTGGATGAGGCTTCCCTTTAAGCAGAAGGGGAATCTGATGAAGACAAGTTGCTGGTCATTTGCATGTCAAAAAGCCTGGAGACTCACAGACAATGGAGGATTACCAGGCATGTAAATAGAAACACAGATGTCAACGTATTGAGTCTGACACCAGCAATCATTTATAGCGCTGTGTTTTATTACAAGGAGGTGCTGTGGGACAATGTTGAAGATTGATTAAGAGTCATCCTCTGCTAATATTCTCATATCATGCTACTTAAAGTGAATGGTTCAGATGTGTGTATCATTTTACAACATCACAAAAACATTTATACTTATTTGGAAATGTACTTGATGTTTTTTATTTTTGCTTTGATTTATCTATGACTGACACCACATAGTCTGGTGAATATAAAGCTGGAGTCAGAAGCTAGGTAGCTAAGTTTAGCACATGTTTTGGAAACAGGTAAATGGCTACCTTTGCCCCTTTCAAAATGCAACACCACTGCCAAAACTGCAATCTAAGCAAGTGCATTCGTTTGATTTCTCATCAAAAATATCTCATTGCATTTATTATAAGCCACATTCACCTGATGCCACATTCACCTGACATGTCGCGGTAAACATCTTAATTCAAGATAGAAAACACTCAAAAAATGAGGCCTGCTTTGCGTGTGACAAGTAAAAATATTCTCATCTCATCTATTCAGGTCTCGTTTTTTTTGTATCTTGAAATCAGATGTTTGTCTGAACCTCAGGTGATTGTGACTTTAAATAAGTGTGAGCTTTTGACAAGAAATTGTTGGGTCTTTGTAGATAACATAACAATGGGTCTTTAACCCGCTCTTTTTGTGAAGTGCCTCGAGATAACATTTGTTATGAATTGGCACTATATGAATGAAGACTGATTGATCGATTGATTGTAACTACACAAACACACTTGCTAAGATTTTGGTTTTTGTGGTCAAAATTGACTTTGGCGCACCTCCAAATCTCCCTGATTTGGACATGTGGGTTGTTTAAGCCATACCAAAAAAAGAAATCAAAGGGTCAAATCAAAGTTTCTTGGTTGATCTCTTAAGTTCTCACTAAGTCACTGTTGCGACCAGCAATTAGTATGCACAAAAACATACAACTTAATTTGAACTGATTGGGTTTAGGGCAGGCACGCTGTATTTGCAATACATTTACACTCTTCTCTTCATCCTTTTTTTTATATCACAGATGGAAGACATGTGAATACATTAGCAGTTCTTCTTAAACTTGTACTAAAACTAAAGTCTAAGACCAAAAAGTACATCATTAGAACAGTTATGCTTACATGTCTTGTCTGCCATATATCAAGATATATATCCCAAAGAGGATTCAAAGTTTACTGTTTCCCCCCCCAAGTGTATAAATCAGTGTTTTCATGGAGAAGATTTAGAGAACAGCTGCCTCGTGAGGTCTTCAAGTGTCCATATGTCTCCATTTAAGTCAGATTGTAAGCAGCCAGTCAAAAACAGTTCACAAGTTTAGGCATCTGTACGACCTTTCGAAGTATCTTCTTAAAAACTGATAAGGGTATTAGGCAGGAGGTCTGCTTACTGTGCAGCAGATGGCCGTTCACAGATACGTCTGGTTGTGCTCAAGGTTTCTGCCTGTTTGAAGGAAGTTTATCTTTGCCACCATTGCCAAATGTATTGTGGATTAATGTTGAGTCTCTTGAAAAAAAAAACACAGCAGAGAACAGTCTCGACCTGCCCTTTATTTGATATCCTTCAAGAAATGAAGTTGTGATTTGGCACTGTATGAAATAAATAAAAACAAAAAACGAATTACACTGTCTTACCAGAGGGGGCAGCACCTCCTTGAAAAAAAAAAAAACTCCCTTTCCCATTGCCAACTTCTGCTTACTGAAACACCCATAAACACAGACACACACTTACACACACAAACACAGTATACAAACGCACATACACATGCTCTATCATAAGCCTGTTACTCACAGCCCTCCTGCATCCACTGACAGAATGACTTATGTGATGGTGCACAAGGTAGGGCAAGCAGCAGGATGTATAAATTGGTTATATTTAAGAGGCTGCATGGGTGTGATGATGCATAACATCCTGACCTCTCTCCTCGACACATCTGTCTCTTTTGTGTGCAGCGTTTTCTGCAGGTTGTCACCCGGTTAATGGCTCCTGTGATGTTTCACCTCAGCCACGCTGTCAGTCGTGACGCTTGTAACAATGTTGCTATTATTACAATCAGAAGTGTAAATGAACCACGTGCTACATCTGACATGTACATTAGCGTGGCGCAGCCTCCTGTCCCGAGGGATTGCAGTCAGATGAAGAATATGGAATAGGAATTCATTGGAGTGTATGTAAGGTGTTGAGGAAAGTGACCATGCATCCTGGTATATCTCTAATAACATGAATATAACATACTGCTTTATTGTGTTGTTTTCATCAAAAGTTGAATGCAGTGGATCATGTGACGACAACACACCATGCTCAAAATGATCAGGACACCACACTTATTTATGTACATAAAAAATGGGAGTTTAATTGAAACTTTGTATCAAAAAATAGCAATATCCATCCTTCACAGCCACAAGTCACACAGCTAGAATGAGGAGTCTCCATTATGATGCTTGGTGACAGCTATGGAAGCTGTTGTCTAGCTTTCCATAGAGTTTAAAATGAATCTTGACATCACAGAAACCAGATGGAATTCTCCGATACTTTCGCCGTTCGACATTACCAACAGACCTTTTTTTTTTTTCTTTTTTAAAGTAGTTAAATAACATTCAAATGCTCTTTTCAAATTTAAGTAAACTTGTTTTATTCTGCTTTACATCGACAACTGCTTCAGTGCATCCTCCACATCTCAAAAGAAAAAAAAAATCATGTCGAAATGTAAAAATAAGTTATAGGAATGCAAACCAAAGACTAAGTAGGATATGCAAATTTGAAGGTGAGGGGAGGGGGGGGGGCTTTTAAGCATAGACAATAAATAAATAAATAGCCACAGAGTGTGGAATGTCTACATGTTTATGAAATAAATTAAAGGGGGAGAAAAAAAAATGTACACACAAAAAGAAAAAAAAAATACACACTGTACAATATTTGTTGAAAAAAAAAAAAAGACATAATTGAACAATGAATATTGCATTGATTGTGCATTTCACACCCCAAACCCTGAGGGGAGGCCAGGGGCAGGGGCCATGTAGTGTCCAAGCAGTGAGATGGCAAGAGGCAAAAATGAAAAGTCAAGAGGGCCAAAACACCCAGCAAGAGGCATGGGGAGACAAGAGGGAGAAAAAGGTGGGAGGAGGGGGGGGGGGGGAGGTGTGTGTGTGTGTGTGTAGACATTTTGTAGACATTCAGAAAAGACAGGATCCAGTTTCCAAAACACCTGTTCAGGCTATAGAGTGAGTGAGCAGCGTTAAAGAGAGCGACACAGAGCTGAGTCGAGTGTTTTTCAAGTATTCCATTGTCAGGAGGAGCCCCCACCTCTTTCTCTCCTAGCTAATGCTATCCTAACCCTCTGGCTGGGGGCTGAAGATAGGCCTACGGTTGATGGAAAGGAGGGAAGAAAAAAAAAAAAAAAGAAAAGAACAAAAAAAAAAAGAGAATAAAGTAACAGCCTCCCCTCCTTTCCATCACAGCACAGTCAGCTTTCACCAGCAGGCCACGGGCAAATCCAAAAAAACAGAGTTGTTGATGAAAGCCCCCAGAAAAGCAGCTTTCCAAAAAAAGGCACTACAAAATCAAAATGAAAACATTTAAATAAAAAGGTTTTTTCGCCGGGCTCTATGAGAGCAGCTATGTCTGAATAGGAGGGCCTTGCCAGCTGCATATACCAGCCTAGTAACAAAATGAGTGAAATAAAGTTACCAAAAAAAAAAGGGGGGGGGAGGGGTAAATAGTGCTGGTAAGACCGCCCAAACAGAAAAAAATGTTCCCGATTAGGAAACAAGAATAATTATAAACATAATGATAAAAGAGAAAAAAAGAGGGGATAGGGGGAAATAACATAAGCAAAAAACAAATAGTAATAAATTAGAAATTCCCTACAAAAGAGGAAAATTAAAGTACATTTAGCTAGAACAGCTGAGTGAAACGCCAAGCCACTGATGGGCCGGTTGGGCCACAGGCTGTTGGCCATGAGTCCATTATCACTCCCTCCATCCAAATCCCCCCCTCCCCCACCCCCAGAGAAGTCTTTTCAGTCCATCAGAGCCATCAGAGGCTCTCCTTGCTTGAGCTTGTGCTTGACGAAGAGTCTGTGTCGATGGTTCTGAGGCGGATCTCGCCAGCAACCGGCTCCTCCGGTGACTTGGGTGACTCCGTCGTCGTCCTCATCCACGGGTGGTCGCAAATCTGCTCCAGGGTGGGCCGGTCTGAAGGCCTCAACGCCAGGCACCATTTGATTAGTTGCTGGCACTCTGAAGGACGAGACAGAAACAATGTTTTAGATAAAAGAGAAATAACCCCAGTGGCTTTTTCTGCATTGTGTTTGACTGTGTATGACCCAGTTTGTTTTGAATCAACCATTAGTGGGACTAGGACATGACTAGGGCTGTTACACAAAGTGCACCATGGGAAAGTGCACCATTGGTAATCATAACAGAATAAAAGAATCTCAGTTTTCTTCATCTTTGATCAGCCATTAGTCCATCATAATTGTGAGGTATTACTTTGATGTGAACTGAGTCATTATACAGTCAAACCCAGAGATGGGATTCTGGTGCTGTACCAGCTACTGCAGCTAGAGGGCAACAGAGTCAACATGTGTATTATGTGGGTTGTTGTGGTTCACATACCGGCTGAAATCCTTCTTCTGAAGTACAGACGACCCCTGAGGATCTCCTCGTCTTGCTCAAAGGGGATGTCGCCACACACCATGTCATAAAGCAGCACGCCTAGCGACCACACTGTTGCCGAGCGACCGTGGTATCTGTGAAAGCGGATCCACTCTGGGGGGCTGTATACTCTTGTACCTAAAAAAAAAAAAAAGACACAGGAAAAGAAAAAGGACAGATGTTGAGTGGTGATCATTCCAGAGGTGATAATCGTGTGAAAGAACAAGTTTCTACTTATTAAGGGATAAAATGTGCCATTAAATGTCAACAGGGCTTCCTTGCCTCAAAACATAAGAACAGCAAAGAGACGCTGAATAAAAAAATAAAAAAGCTGAGAATAATTCATGTGTGGATGTGTAAAATGGCTGAGTCATGGTAGAAATGCTTTCCATCTTCTCTAAGCCACAAAACACAAACTGGGTGACCTGCCTGCGTCTCCTCCCTCCCTCCCTCCCTCCCTCCCTCCTTTCCTTCTCTTCCTCCCCCCTCCCTCTTGGAAGGAGGAACTTGGATACCAAACAAAAAAAAAAGGCAATGTGAGCCCATCACGTGAACCACCGACTCGGGTTTCACAACAAACAGATGTTACGTGGCACTGACCTAACACACCATAACCTGCAGACTATGAGTCAACCCTTTAGAAACAAAAATAACAGCCGGAAACATTAAAAGTGAGCACCCCATCTCACAAGACGGGGTAGTATGAGCGCTTAAAAAAAAAAAAATAGGATTAACTAAGAGTGAGTCACATCCGTGAAAACATAACATGCGCGTCATGAATCCCGAATCCCATTTATCTGCATTATTGTATATCCGTATAGTAATGATAAGACCCCCAGGCAAGGAAAACCCTCGACCAAAAACAGACCACTGCGTCACAGCCGCGTGAACCGCCTCCGTATCTGAATATAGCACAGCGGAGCATCAAGGGCAAACACAAACCAGCCCACACGGATATGAATTCATCACAACAAATTACACATCCAGCATCCTACCGCCTCAGAATAGTCATTACTGCAATAGCAAAAAAAAAAGAAAAAAAAAAAAAAAAGGAGATGGGAGATACTCACCATCGAAATCGGTGTAGACTGTGTCCTTGAGAATCGCCCCTGAGCCAAAGTCAATAAGCTTGAGCTCCCCGGTGCGTAGATCCACAAGCAGGTTTTCGTCTTTGATGTCTCTGTGTACTACGCCGCAGCTGTAGCAGTGTCGGACCGCCTCCAAAACCTGGCGGAAAAAGCCCCGGGCCGTGTCCTCGTCCAGGGCGCCCTTCTCGGTGATGAAGTCGAAGAGGTCCTTGACGAGCTCCGGCCTCTCCATCACGATGAGCCAGCCGTCGGCGCGCTCGTAATAGTCCAGCAATTTGATAACTCCGCGAAACGTCGAGCTGACCTTTTTCAGCAACAGGATCTCCAAAGGCACCATAGCTCCATTCTATAACAATGATGAAATATGTTTTATTAGATACGTTGAGGGAGGAGGGTGGGTTGGGGGGGGGGGGATACTCAGCTATTCATCCATGCACAGCACAATACCCCCCACCCCGCAGCGGGCATGCATGGGAGGAGGAGGAGGGGGGGGGGACCAAAACAAACCACACACACACACAGATCGGGGATGAGTACTTACAATTGTGCCCCACTCGGTCACCCTCTCCTTTGCAACATGCTTCACTGCAACCTGAAATAACACACAATAAAGAAGAAATCTCGTTAGAAAACGCTTGAAAACGATGCTGAGAAGAGTCATTTTGTAACGAAAAGGCGAAGCAAGGACGAGCCGGCTTTGATGGCGGCACATGAAAGATCAAAACACAGACGCCGCTTCACATTCTTACCGGTGCGCCATCAGAGATCCGGCTGCCGGCGTACACTGTTCCAAATCCTCCGCTGCCAAGCACGGAGCCCACTTGGTAAACCTTTTCGAAAGCCTCCTTCTCCGCTTTAACTGCAAGATAAAAGTGGAAAAATGTTCAAATAAGTGCAGAATTCTTAGAAGAGACCGCCGCTTAGTGCGATGTCAGGTCGTCAAGCTTTACGAGCCGGTCAAACAGTTCAACAAACAGTGTAGGCTACATGGAGGATACATTTCTTAAACCACTTAACAGTTCTTAATATTAAATTAAATCCCTGCAAATGCGATGAAAACGCATCAGTCTATGACTGTGACTTACCCGGCGGGAGCTGTATTTTCACTGGTAGATGGTCCATACTTGAAGGATTGCAAATATGCGAAAAAGAACCAAACTTTGACAGCAACATATTCAAGCTGAAAAACCGGTGCAGACGATTCCTATTCAGCCCCCCGGAAGAGTCAGAAGAACCAATACAGTAAGATGAAAAGTGAGTTCAGGCGCTGTTCAAATGATGGTGCAGACCGTCTTGGCTCCAAGCGAATAATATATCCAGTCCAGCAGTGCGCCAGCTCCGCCGCACCGCGCCCGTCAAAGTCGTGTCACGACCATGAAGTCGTGCATCTTTTTCCAAAAACCGGCATGAAAGCTGACTTAGGTGTATCGACTCAAGAAACTCAAGACGAAAACAGTCCTCTTAAGTGATGAAAAAAAAACACCCAAACACTCCGATGTGTATGGTAGCCGTATCAACAGTAGAGTGCGTTTAAATGCCCTCCGCAGTGTGTTGTTATCCTGAAGAGTGGCCGCTGTCTGAGCTTTGGCGCGGTCTCCCCAAGCCAATATTTTGACGCGCAGTAGGATGTCGATATCCCTCCGCGGCCACTACAAGTCGACACGTTTGCTTAACGCCCGGGAAAATCCAACATTTAGCACCATGTAATTATTCACATGCAAACACTGAGCACGTGTTGTCATTTTATTTTGCCTTCACTCCACAATTGCTCTGAAATAATCATTTTCACCGCGCACTACTTTGTCATAGTACGAGACGCCCAAGAATCCCTGTCTGGAAGCTATGCGCTGTGTTCACTATCGACTCGGAGGCGACGACCAATGAGATGTCGTATATAAATACTGTGTTGCGTATCTAGACCAATCGAGAAAAAGTTATTATAATAAAGCAGGCATTTGAGCGCACGTGGCGGCAATTCAGCGCCGTCCCCTCTCCTCCCCTTTCCTCTGCAGCTCTGCAGTGGGAGACGGACACAGAGTTTATGGTATGTGGGAGGAGTTCACTTAATAGAGTAAACCAACACAAACTTCTGAGCACCTCTTTAAAGTTGTTTTGTGTCTGCATTACCCACTTGAGTAATTGTTTAACTTAATGCCCACACATTTGACATTTTTAACAATTGGCCTAGTTTGAGACAAGACACACATGACAACTGACACAGAATATATAAAGTAGAGCAAACAGTGTATAAAGCCAAAGCCTATATCAAATTTATTTTGAAAAAAGGTATATAGCCTATTCTTCTGAAACACTTCAGTGGCACAATCAACAGACCAAATACTGCCTAAAACATAAAAAAGGCTCAGTTTGACAGATTTGAAACAATGAACTAATGGAGTAAATATTTCTGGCTTAAAAAGCAAAGAGTAGATGCAACAATCTGCATGTTAATGCATGAATATTAGTCTCCAATACCTCATGGATGACTTTTTCATACAGAACACATCAAAAGACTGCTTTACATGAATACAGTTCTGAAAAATACAATCAGTATGAAAACTCTGTGTCACCATAATCATCTAAACAAGAATAGAAACCTTATCAGATAGCAAAATGTTTGTGGAGCCAGCTGTCCCATTTCAAAAGGTTAACTTTCCAGTTTTACTATAAAACATCTGACACGACCTTGGCTCCGTGTGAACTTTCCACTTTTTATCTTCTGCTACCTTTGATAACCCGTGTGTGTATGTATTCGTGTGTGTGTGTGTGTGACCACAAACCAAACAGAAGCATCAGATAGTTCCAAGGAACCTTATCGTGCTATAGGCCTGCCAACTGCAAAGTTATGTAAATGTACACACACACACACACACACACACACACACACACACACACACACACACACACACACACACACACACACAGCGTATTTGAGCAGAGTGACAGCCTGTGGGTTAACCCACACTGCTCTATTTACCTTGTGATAATTTCCCCGGCTTTATGTTCCTGGTGCAGTGTCACTTGTATGCAACACATTTGTGCATTGTGCTCTGTTAGTTTTCTGCATACCAACACTATATGGACACATTGCATATTATATAGATTGAGAAGGTAAAAAGCTTTGTGCTGTACAAACAAAATGGGACATATAAATACGCTATGGCATACTGTATTTGTTAGGTGATTGATGAGTTGGTGTTTATGGAAGGACCTCAAGGGTCGATTACCTTTTATCTTATAAAGCATTTGCATACATGAAAAAGACTTTCAGGTGTATTAGATTAGGCTTCAAAGAAAATGTGGTCAACCTGCAACAGTATATTTCCTGCAGAAAAAAAAACCTTCAACCTCCTCTGTATGTTAATTCTATGGTCATGTGTTTATTATTATTAAAGGCAGTCTGACCCATACAACCGGCTTGTTACAAATAATAGTTTGAATTCTTAAGCGTAAAGTATATTTTCTGCAGGATTGGCTTGCCAGCCCGTATTTGTGTTTCCTCTTCCAGTCCAAACAGATCAGCTCAGGTTAATTAAATACCAAATTTGTTGCCGTTATGTGCATGATTGAGCTTTTATGTCTTTCGCTTTTAAACTGGTCTCTCCTCATTTGCACTTCTCTAGTGTCACTCCACATGCAGTCACACTTTCAGCTTGGAAGAGCACTCTCTGTATGACAGAGAAAGGAATGAAAATAGTGCATCCTTTCCATTCTGCAACATAAGCAGATGCAACAGGTGTAACACAAAAACCTATTTTGGGGTAGACCTCAGTACGAGTATGGTATGTACTTAATGCAAGTGTACAAACGGAGCTGGAGTGAATGGTGTGGAGGTGCAGCAGCTGGAATGACATTGAGTGTCAGCCCCGTGATAGAGCTGTGTCCCGTTGAGGGTGTTTACTGCCTTTCACCGCATGCTGGGACAAGCCCCAGCTATCACACAACCCTGAAAAAAGATACTAAGGATGGATAGAAATAATAATCATCACTCCTTTCCCCCTTTGTCTGTCCTTAATAAGAAGCTGCTTTACAAAATAACCACATACATGTTATTTTCACTCATTTGAAGACAGTATAGTGCAAGTGAAAAAAGGCTAAATAATTTTTAAAATCACAGAATAGATCTCCCAGTGCCATCATCCAAAGTATTTAACGGTCTTTTTGTAAATATAAACAAAGATTTTAGAAGATATCAGCCTTAAATATAACCAGTCAAGCTGAAGTATCCATGATTAAGTCTTTCCTTTTGGTGGTGAGAACCAGTTGAGTTGCGAGTGAGGCAGTCAGGCAGTTTGCCAACCAGGCGTGCTGACTGCTAAGACAGCTGTTTTGTCCTTGGCTTCATGCGAACGCGTGCTTTGCAGTTGTTCACAGCTCTCATGGGAAATCATCATCAGGCCTTTTTTTTATTTTTATTTATGATCACCAATCCTCTGCTCGGTGGACGTCGAGAAAACTTCAAAGCGAGGGAGTGGAGAGAGCCAAATAATACAAATGGCTTGTGGCCCACTGATGAGCTGTCACTGTCCACCTTCATCTTCCTCTCCTGTACGTCTTCATTTTTTTTTTTTTTTTGCCCTGTCTTCTTTCATCTCTGCGTGCCTGGGATGCCTCCCATTTTCCTTTTTCTCTAATTACTGCCTTAGCAAACTGTGTCAGCGAGCTGAAATAGTTTTGATGAGGGGTCCGGCTGCGTTTGCATCTGTAATTTGATGGCTTTTCATTGGGGACACATAAAACCAGACGCACCAGAGGGTATGTGGCCACATCAGAGTCTCGGAGTCGACCGAAGTTATTTTTAGCCCCGTCATGCTGGTCCGTTGGCGGCCACATCATTTTGGTAAGCCGCCGATTGAAATCGATCCAGCTTGGTCAAGCTGGTGCTCTCTGCCAGGGAAATCTGAGGGCCTGAATTTGTCATGGATCATGCTGGGGTTTAGATCCCTCAACATGTGTTCAGGATATTCATGTATCATGTTTCCTGCAGGCATGTTGACAAAAGCAGTGCCTTCCTGCCAGGGTCCTCTGAGTTTTAACAGACTTCAATAAAACAAGTTGAAGGTTATCAAAGCGTTTGCCTGGGCATTTTCAACCTGGTCAATATCTTGCAGAATCATGTATCCTGACAGGCTGTTCTCTGTGTCTTTGGCTTGCATCTCTGCAAAATCTATTTACCAGAGCTGATCTCTGACATGTACAGTCACACAGTCAGTGCACTACAGGCTGTTTCCTTTGTTCTTTTTTTTTCTAGCATGCAAGTTAGAGTTCCAATAATGAACCTTGCAGTGTAAAGGATATGGTAAAATAAGATACATTTGACTGTGTTTTTCCTGACATGCATATTAATTGGTGTTGGTCAAACAAATGTAGCCTAACAAGCCCTATGGCTACTGAATTATTACGGTCAAGTCACTCAAGCATTTAAAACTGAAAATATTTCATTGAGAACAGCTAAAACATTCACACACACAAAAAAAAAAAACCCATAGCCATGCACATTTTTCATATCTAACCCACAAATGAATGCCATTCCTCAATAACAAGCTCTCTTGACTCTGCTGACCTTTGAGGGGAATTGAGTCCAAACTTCGAGAAATGCAGCTTAGAAACTCTGTTTCCCAGTCATCTTTTACTAAACTACCACTGAAAGAAAATAAAACGCTTCAGAAAAGAACAATTATTTTCTGTTCAGTGCAACGAATGAATGAAAACCCTCGCACAAAATGCCAATGACACAGTATGGAGAGGTAAAAAAAAAGAAGCTAGTTTATTGATGTGACTGCTTCGGTGTTCTAGCCTAACATTACATCTACGTCTTTGCTACTGTCAGGTTGGTGCATGCCATTAGCTGCCTATTACATGCCATGTAACCTTTGAGAGACAAGGTTGTGGTCACCTGTGCTAACTCTGTCCAGAATAGGTTAAGGCTGCTATAGTCCTGTGTGCTGCATTGCCGGCCAGGTCGCTTCATGGATTACCGTCTGGACTCAGCTTTATGTAACACTGTCAGGCAGTCTCGTAATCTGGCGGCCACATTGCATAACAAAATTTCGACACATTTCTGCACACCTTTAGTTTCCCCACACGTATGAATAAACAGTTATTTCCTGCTCATTTATACGGCACATTCTTCTTCCCGTTCATGTCGGGATGAACATTTACCCTAGATGTACTCCGCTGCTAACACAGAGTGTAATAATACTTGTGTGCATCTGTGGGCGTGTGTGTGTGTGTATTTTTGTACAACCAGCCAGCCAGCCAGCCAGCCAGCCAGGAAGTGAGAGCAGGACAGAGTGAAGAGTGAAACATTGTAGTAGCCAATTTAGATTGCATCATATGGAATTCTACATCTTTTCACAAAGTTATATAGTAAGCATGTCTGAGCATGTGGGGCATGAAGGATACGAGTGGTGTCAAGTAGCTTATGGTGTCCTAAAAAAGAGATCTTACATGATCTAATATATCAGCTAGTGTATATTGTTTTGTAATGTGATGTAGGGAAGGTTCTGAAGCTTAAAGATGTCAATTTCTAACAAACATGCACGCACACTTTGCACACTCACACATACTCTTCTCTGCTATAATAAAACACATTAGCC